CTATGAGGAAATGAGTATCTTTATGAAATTTCATTCTTTACAGAAGCACAGAAGTTGTCTTTCCATTTGTTCATTTTAAAGTTTTTTTTAAAGTCCATTTTAAAGTTTTCCTCATAAAGATTTTATACATTTAAATTTATTTCTAGGTATTTCTGTCTATTTTGCTTTTGTAAATACAGTTTTCTTTTCAAATAAATCACTTGAAACTTTCTTTTAATAGGAGACTTGTCTATTACATATCTTGATGGCCACAGGTGTTTCTTCCAGTTGATAATGTTATTTTTAGTAATGCTTCATGTAATATTTGCTTCCTCCCTTCCTTTATGGACTGTTTCTTTCTCTTTGAAAATTATTTCTTGTTTACAAAGGTTGTAATTTTCTTAATGACTAATCTAAAATGGCTAAAAATATTTATGCTAACATTATTTATAATGTTCTTAAGATCCCTGTATGCAAAGGACTTAAGACTGCACATTAAATGACTATGCTTTGACCTTCACTACCAATGGCCTGATTTTTCTTTTTTTTTAACCTTTGTTTTCTTTAAAAGAAATTCCATTATAAATTGTGAGAACATAATTAAATATCAGTCTTCTATCCTTGGCCATACTTTCAGTAATACAATTGAATGTGTTTAATATCTAGTTCATTGTTTAGTGAGCTTTTGGCTTGTATATAAGAATTGGGGTATAGATCAGAGGTACCAGTGAGAGAATATCTGAGACAGAGTGGGGAACAGAACAGGTAGTTTGACTTAAATAACAATGCTGAGGGGAGCAGGAGGTGAGAAAGGAGAGGTTTGTGCCATGTGGGTTAGCTTCTTGGCTGGGGAATCGAACTCATGCTGCAGTGGCTGTTGGTAGCTTCATAGAGCTGAGACTTAACCTCTTGTACTACCTCTCTCTCTCTCTCTCTCTCTCTCTCTCTCTCTCTCTCTCTCTCTCTCTCTCTCTCTCTCTCATTGAAGCTCATTTGTAGATTGCTTAGAATGGGATACATGTGGTATATTTCCTGCATTCTTGCATATTTAAAGCTGTATTTCTTTAATTGCTGTGATAACTAAAGGAGCACCTGGCTGGATATAAAATCCTTGGTTTATACTTTTATTCTTTGAGTTTCACCCATAGGGTTTCTGGCCAAACCTGGAACTATCTGAGCCATCACTGGAAGTATAGTTATGATTCATTATAAAACCTTGAATTGAAAAAAGTTAATTTATGAGACCAACATAGTAAGAAGATTAAAAAGCAAAGGAAATTTCCTTTAGTTAACACATTTATCAGTAGTCTCAGAACTAGAAATTATACTACAACTTTCAGAGAAATAAGCCAGAAACATTAGCAGATACCAAAACCTTTGGCAAAAGTCTTCTGGGAACATGATATATGAACTGCATGGTGCCGGTTAATAATCCCTTATGTACTTACTGTTAAGAAGGGAGAATGTAACTCTGCAATAGTGATTCAAACTCTTAAAACAGACAACCTGGTAACATGTTCTCTTGCTGTGATGTACGGGATTACTTATCTTCTGTGGAGTATTCTTGTTTAATGTTTATTCTGTATCTAGTAAGGTCCCCAGACCTGACCCATTCCTGTTGCCAGGAAATTTAGGGGATAATGGAAGTTAGACAAATGCAGGATGGTGGGGCATTTTACAAGAAAATTGGCTAGGAGACCTTAAGATAACAGTGCCTTAAGACAAGAAGGATGTATTTGTGGGACTGTTTTTAGGACAGGGGAATCCAAAGGGAAGCAATAATCACGTGAGTGCAAGGCTCTTTCAGTCATCTTCATCCCCTCTCCCTATGTAAGAAATATCTCTGGGACAGTGGAAATCTTGGATATATTACAATTAAAAAATCAAGATACTAAGTTACTTAGTACTTTTTATTCTTTTGACCAGATGTTTTATTCAGTAAGTCTGTTTTAAAAGACAGGTCTCACAGCTTAATATAGTTTATAATAAATCAGTACATATAAAAGTGTTTGCCACTTGGATTCTAAAAGATTGGTTTCGGCTAGTCAACTTAAGTTACGAATAACCGTCTTCCAAGACAGCTTTCTTAAAAATGCTTTCAGCATACCCACTTTCATTTAATATTGTGCAGTGACAATTTTACTGTATTTTTAAACATTATTTAATAGAGGACTGCTTTTAAACCTTGTTTTAATCCTTTAATCTGTGATGAATTGTAACTTGGTTAATTTTGCTAAAGGAAGATTGTTAACTCAGAAAAGGCATTAGATTTCTTAGGTTTTTCCAGTTTTATAAAAAGTAATTTCCTTTGCAACAACCCAAAACAACCTGATTTTAAAATGGGCTGAGAACTTTGATATCCAAAGACAAAGGTAATGGGCAGTAAGCACACAAGACACTGCTCGTCAGTTAGAGAAATGAAAGCCACAATGAGATACCATTTTGACTGTTACTAGAAACTTGAGATTGTGGAGAAATGGCAGTCTTTATGGAATGGTGTATATAGTTTCTATAGAAAAACTTGGCAATTGTTTATAAAGTTCAACATAGAATTACCATATATATTATCCAGCATTCCCTCTCTGAGTATACTTCAAAAAGATGGAAAGCAAAGACTCGAGTAGATACTTAAGCACATGCTTATAGCAGCTTATTTACTATAACCAAAAAAAAAAAAAAAGGAAAGAATCGAAACATCCATGAACAGATGAATGGATAAACAAATATGGTATATTACCTACAGAGGGATTATTATTCAATCTTAAAAAGAAATGAAATCCTGACACATGCTACAGTAACATTATACTAAGTGGAATAAACCAGACACAAAAGAACAACTGCTGTTTAATTCTGCTTAATATGGGGGACCCAGAGTTGGCAAATTCACAGAGCTAGAGAATATAATAGAGGTTGTTAAGGCATGGGTGGGGGTTGGTGTGGAAAGGAAAGAGGGATGAAGAGTTATAGTTTAATGGGTATAGAGCTTCTAGCTGGGGTGATGAAAAAGTTCTATACAAGGCTGAAGGGGTTACTTGAACAAAACAATGTATATATTGCTGCTGAGTACACATATTAATGCATATTTAAAAAGTCGGGAAAACTCATAACTGTTACAGTGTGCAGATTTTTCCATAGCAAATAGCTTTTAAAAAGTAGTATAGTTTTCTGCGTTACTAGTGAAAAATCTTTTAAGTGTGAAGGTCATTTTTTTTATTTCATTGCTCCTTTGAATACAGAAAAATAGTATCATTATAACTTTAACCAATATTTTGAAGTAGTAGAGGAAATTACTTTCATTTCATTGCCTTCCAGAAGTAAAAATATGAATAAACAAAACTTAGGTAGTATTGAAACACTATAAATATACTGATATACTGATTAAAGTGTATAATGTCATGTATTTTTGCTTGTTTATTTTTTGAAAATTTTCAGCTGCCTTTTGTTACTCATTTCTAGTTTAATTCCATTAGCTAACATCTTTTGTGAGATTTAATGCCTTTAAGTAAGTTAAGGTTTGCTTTATTTTTGTGAATTTTTTTCATGTATAATCTAAAATAATATATATTCCCCTGTTGTAATAGTTTGTTTTTGAGTGGAAAAAGAAAATGTTTTCATCTTTTTGTAGTATTGGACATTTAATACTTTGCTTCTTTGTAGCCAGTGAGGTAATAGACCACCATGGGATTCAGAATTCTATGGTAGCTTGCCTTTACTAACTGTATTGTTTCAACTAAGTTAGTCTAATCTTTTCTTTTTTCCCACTTGTCAAATATTGACTTGATTTTGTGTGACCCTTCTGTTTCTTAAGAGCACCAAGTATTAAATTTGATAGTGCAACGTTTAAGAGAGAATATGTTTACTCTTTTCTTTTTTGTTATTATAACATTCTTATTCTTGTTTTTATTATAGCAGTTTGAATAGTGTAATTTTAGGGAGAGGTTATGACTCCATAAAGTTTCAATTTCTTGTCGAATCTGCCAGCTGCAGATATCAAGGTTGGTAGCAGTGGATTCTAGAAAGAGATGAGAATTCTCACAATGATTTTATGTTACTGGAATAAGGTGATTAACCAGAAATTCTGATTTAAGGACTGCAAAGTTGGTGGTAATGATACATTTAGGCATAGGTTTTATAAAATGTATGCCATAAAAAAAAAATCAGCAATTGACAAAAATGGTGAATTTTGAAATACTTCTGAAGTTTGTGGAAATGAAGAAATTACTGAGGATATAATTCCATATAGATGTAATTGTGTAGTGAAAAGGATTATAAAGTGCATGTAACTTGTAGTGAAATTTTGTATTTTGTGGTGTTTTAAAAACGGGCAAATCAGATATTTTAAAGTTACCCTGATTTTATGTGTTAAAAAAAATTTATTGGTAGTGTCTATGAGAATGTCATCAGAACTTTGAACGATTCTTTTTTTTTTTATTACAAAGTTTATTTTTACATCATTTTGCACATTTTTTTTTCCATCTCGATTGTAATCTCCACGGGTTTCCTATCACCAAATCACCCCTGTGCCACCACCATAGTCCCGTGCATTT